CCCGGCCCAGACTGTCTGCACTAGTCCCCGACTATTTAAAAAGGATAATCCCCGTTATCCCAGGCCTTTTTTAATTTGAATCCCCGACTCAAAAAGTAAAACCAACTTGCCTGTTTTGGCGACGTAAGGAAACCGTGGCTTTTATGTCTTCAATCCGAATTTCAAAGCTGATCAAACCCACACGGAGACTGTCGCTGCAGTTGTTCCTCCACCTGCAACCTCCAGGCCTCGCTGCTGTTGTCATATCTCCAGTTGGAATGATGTTCAGCTCCAAAAAAAAGATGTTTTGACATCCGACTCGAAGGACCAAAAAATGTTATGCTAGTTCAGCCAGGTTTCCTTAAACAGTCGCCCGATGAAAGGAAGGAAATTACAAACTTAGATAGATATAAAAGAAGGTTTAATATATAAAACAGAATACATATAAAAGACAGGCAGAGAGAGAAGCCCGGGTCTGCGCGGACGAGAAGCAAAGCACACAAGACAGACCACGCTGAAAGTTAGGCCTCGCCTCTTATACCAAAGTTCTAAAACACATGTGACAATATGACCTATTGAACTCTAGGTTAGAAAACAATCTTCTCATCCATCAGAAGAAGTGTCTTCCTGTATGTGACCAACCCAACACAGATGTTTTCTGGCTTCATGCTTGTTTACTCTTCTCGTCTTTCACTCTTGCCTGGGGGGCTGAAAGAATTCTGCATTCCTCCCACCCCCAATGCATGAGTTGGTTAACTTGACTAGACCCCACCAATCTACACACATTTATTAACATGATAATACACATAACATTTCCCAACACACATTCAAAGGAATGGTGAAAAATCAATTTCGTCATTCAGTCCAGGAAAGGATGTGGCATTCAGATTCACAATCCAAAATGTTTCACGTTGCAGCAGGTGGGTGAGTCTATCTCCACCTCTGGGTGATTTTGGGATGGAGTCAATTACCATCACTTTTAGTTTGTTGATGTTTGTGTGTCCGGCCGTGTGAAAGTGGACAGCCATTGGGTACTGAGGATCATTCTTTTTTATTGCGCGTTTGTGCTCAGCAAATCTGTCCTTCAGTCTCCTTTTTGTTCTTCCAATATAAAAACAACCACACTAACATTCCAGTTTGTACACCACAAAGCATGTATTGCAGTTGGCAATTGATGTTTACCTAGAAAGTCAAAACTTAATCTTTTTTGGTTACAACAAAATATATATTGCATGTGGCGACTACAATATTGATTTATTAAATGCAACCAAACATAGACAAACGGAACACTTTCTAGACATGATGTATTGGAAAGGTCTCGACCCACTCATCACAAAGCCTACTCGAATAACCATTGACTCTGAAACACTTAGTGACAACATATCTACAAACATAATGGAAACCACAGTTAATAGTGCCATCTCCATAAGTGACATTACAGACCATTTACCGATCTTTATGACACACAAAGGTGGTACTGACAATAACAACGTTCAAAAGGAGAGACAGCACAGAATAGAAAAAATAGGAAATGAAGAGATAATAAAAACATTAAGAAATGTCCAACTGAATGAGACATGGAATGAAGTTTATGTACAAGAGGTGAATGCTGCATGTGAAGCCTTTCTAGACCAGTACAAGTGTCTGTATGACAACAACTGCCCAGAACCAATAAGGGAAGAGAAAGAAACACTTAAACCATGGCTGACAAGAGGACTGCTAAATGCATGTGCCAAAATCAGAATGATATGAAAGCAACATGGAAGATATTAAAACAAGTTATGGAAAAGAAGAAACCAAAGTCTACTATACTAAATGACTTACTAAATGATGAAAATAATCAAATAGATGTTAAAGATATGGCCAACGAGCTTAACTCACACTTTGTAAATATAGGGCCAAAGCTTGCTAATAAAATTCAACAACCGGGAAATGCATATTTAAAAACACAAGGCAGTAAAATGTGTCACTCTATGTATTTGGAAGAAGTCACTGAACCAGAAATGTTGAGAACAGAAGCAGAGTTCAAGAATAAGACATGGACAGATAGTGATGGATATGACTGTTATTAAAAAGACCATAGACTGTAGAACTAAAGCACTATAGTGATAGATATGACTGTTATTAAAAAGACCATAGACTGTAGAATTTGAAACTGATTTTTTTGTTTATCACGGAGCAGTAACTCTCAGCTCTGATGAGGGAGAAGGCAGTGATGATTCTGTGTGTTTTATTTGAGGCTTGTCCCTGAATAAGTTTAGTTGAAACTTGTGACAGTTGGACTCGGGTCAGAACATCCTGAGACTGTTGCAGATTCTGCCTCGGTCTCATTATTGTCAGTGTAGCACCTCCATGGTTCTTTTATATAACTGGTCCTCCATGGTTCTTTTATATAACTGTGGTCCTCCATGGTTCTTTTATATAACTGGTCCTCCATGGTTCTTTTATATAACTGTGGTCCTCCATGGTTCTTTTATATAACTGGTCCTCCATGGTTCTTTTATATAACTGTGGTCCTCCATGGTTCTTTTATATAACTGGTCCTCCATGGTTCTTTTATATAACTGGTCCTCCATGGTTCTTTTATATAACTGTGGTCCTCCATGGTTCTTTTATATAACTGGTCCTCCATGGTTCTTTTATATAACTGTGGTCCTCCATGGTTCTTTTATATAACTGGTCCTCCATGGTTCTTTTACATCAGTAGCTCATGTGAAATGAAAAGGAGATTCTCCTTTTTGTCCCTTATGGACCACTGTATTTAAAGACGGTGCATTGACACAGAGAGGACTCAGCCTCATGGACATTTATAAGTTAAATTCTAAGTTTATGAAAACAATTAAAAAAACATGGTGGAGATAAATATTCTTAAAAAGGTCACATTTATTATTATTTAACATGTTTTTTATTTGGAGCAACTGTAAAAAAAATGGTGGATTTAAAGTAAATACAAACAATATCATAATCCAACCATTTGAACCCAAAAGTGTGAAGATTATTTAGATAGATATAGATTATAGATATAGATTATAGATATAGATTATAGACATAGATTATAGATCTAGATTATAGATATAGATTACAGATATAGATTATAGATATAGATTACAGATATAGATTATAGATACAGATTATAGACATAGATTATAGATATAGATTATAGACATAGATTATAGATATAGATTATAGATATAGATTACAGATATAGACATAGACATAGATATATATTATAGATATAGATATATATTATAGACATAGATTATAGATATAGATTACAGATATAGATTATAGATATAGATTACAGATATAGATTATAGATCTAGATTATAGATATAGATTACAGATATAGATTACAGATATAGATTATAGATATAGATTACAGATATAGATTATAGACATAGATTATAGATATAGATTACAGATATAGATTATAGATATAGATTATAGATATAGATTATAGATATAGATTATAGATATAGATTATAGACATAGATTATAGATATAGATTACAGATATAGATTATAGACATAGATTATAGATATAGATTATAGATATAGATTATAGATATAGATTATAGACATAGATTATAGATATAGATTATAGACATAGATTATAGATATAGATTATAGATATAGATTATAGATATAGATTATAGATATAGATCACAGATATAGATTACAGATATAGATTATAGATATAGATTACAGATATAGATTATAGATATAGATTACAGATATAGATTACAGATATAGATTACAGATATAGATTACAGACATAGATTATAGATATAGATTATAGATATAGATTATAGATATAGATTATAGATATAGATTACAGATATAGATTATAGATATAGATTACAGATATAGATTATAGATATAGATTATAGATATAGATTATAGACATAGATTATAGATGATTACAGTTCATAGAGAGTATGAAGGTTATTTTGTGTTTTTATAATCAACACTTTCTTTTGCTTCATTCTATAAACTGTAACAAGAACGTATTCGGTGTAAATAAATTAAATGTTTAAAAATTCAGTGTCCAAAAATTCGTAGCATTTTTTTTCGCTGCTTGAAATGTCATGCTTTATTTCCGGGTAAATCAAGACAGAAGCAATCGATCAGCCAATCCTCCATAGATGTAGCCAGGGCCAGAACATGACTGACTTGTTCATCTGAACATGGCGTCCACAGCAAACCAGTAAGTGTGTTCTGACGTCAGACGCCGACTTGGAGTCAGGCCAGCACCTCTACCTGGAGTTTTTGTGGATTATAATCTCTGTTGGAGTATCGTTCTGTTGGATTACCGTGACGTTTTGGAATACCTTGTGCAGAGGGATCAAACGAGACTGTGGATTATCTCTCCATGGTTGCTGGTGGGCTCCAGGACCCGGTTTTGTGAACCTTGGTGCATGCGCGGGGCCGTGAGTACACCGTGGCTTCACCACTGACACTGACTCTTTCTTTTTGTTTCCACATATTGAGTTCTTAGTGGCTGTTTGTGATCGTATTATGTTTTGTTGTGTGGGGTCGCGCTCGAGCGTGGGGGTGTGTTGGCGCAGTGTGATAGACTGGGATCAGTAATAAATAGCCAGTCTTGTGCCAAATGCATGTTCGGTATCTGTGCTTATTTCACCCCTGCTGATGTGACACCTCCTCTCGCGACCCTTTTAAAGCGTTGTAGCTCTGGTGTCTTGAAAAGTTAGGCAAATTGTTACAGACTGGTGGCCCGTACGGGGACCGCGGAGTTTCTGTACATCAGCGGCGTTGGTGTCGAACTTTTACGCACGGGTTACGCGCACTACCTTCCGCGCGCACACGCATATGCTAAATCCCTCACGCATTAAGCCACATTCACACCAACAAAGTATGGCAGATCCAGTCCAGAATATACTGGATGAGGACAGAGGAGATGAGAACGCAGTAGATGACACACCAGTACTGCATCCTTCTTATCATGTCACTCTTAGACAAAATCAAAGTGGAATGTCTGAGCTCACGAGCCGGTTAGAATCCATGTATTTAAACGAGGCAGAAGACGAGAATGACGAGGCGGGGAATGACATGGGCATGGAGAGAGTGTTTGAGGAACTCAATACATTAAAGGGGACCGTAGATGGCCTGGAGACTCGTCTTAAAGAGACAGTGGACAGTGCTCTGAGCAGAGAGGAGGGGCTAAGAGCGGCAATGGATGTGATGGCAGGAGAATTCAAAAAGTATGTGGATGGAAAGCTACAGCGTTTTGATGAAGTTGTCACAGACTGTCTATTACGCAGGGACCAGAGGTGGACGGAGGAATTAAAAAGGATCCAATCGAAGTCCCGGATGTCCTGGGGACCCGTTAGTTATTCTACGCCTTCCATCCCTGCACATTCTTCACACCGGCGACTAAGCGCAGACGAGACCTGTCCCACAGTACCAGCAGCCGCAGCCAGACCCCCCATTAGAATGGTGTTTCCTCAGTTCGGAGAGTCGCGAAATTCTTCTGACGTCACGGACTTTGTTGAGCAGTGTGAGAACTTTTTAACCCTCAGACCACTGAGTGACATAGAGCTGATGGGAACGCTCAACACAGTTTTAAAGGGCCCTGCACGCAGTTGGTGGTTGGCCGCCCGCAGTAAAATCTGCAACTGGACGGACTTTAGGAAGTCCTTCCTAGAGGCGTTCTTACCCATGGACTATCAGGCGGAGATTGAAGATCAGCTCAGGACCAATGTGCAGGCCCCAGGCCAATGCCTGAGAGATTTTGCGTACGACCATCGAGCTCTCTGTCTAAAGTGGAGACCAGATATGACGGAGGCAGACATGGTGCGTCGCATCCTCAATGCTTGTAACCCTAGGCTGGCTAGCGGGCTGCGAGGCACAGTTACCACCGTTGAACAGCTGGTGAAGGTGGGCTCTCTTATTGAGAAAGACTGGAGCAACACAAAGGACTATTGGAGCAGAGTTCAGCAGTCACATCCTCCTAAAAGGGTGGGCAAAAAGAACGACCATGGTCCAAACCGGAGCTCCGGTGGCGACGTCGCTACAGCTTTGGGCGAGCCGTCTCTCCTTGTCGTGCCGGTCTACCTTTGCGGTTCCAAAGGCGATGCGGTACTCGATTCGGGATGCACTTACTCCCTCATGAGCCACTCACTATGGAATGCCATCAAGAAGGACGGAGAGATCCTAGCGTCGAGTGAAATCCCAAAGTTCGTAATGGCCAATGGTCAAGAGAACAAGGCTCTTGGGAAAGCCACCTTGCTCTTTTGTCTCCACGATTTCCATGGCATGCTCGGAGTCCACGTTCTTGCTGACGACAACCTCTGCAATGGGAGTGGTCTGCGGAGTGTCAGGCTGCCTACAACCGACTCAAGGTCCTGGTTCAATCACCACCAGTCCTAGCCCAGCCACAACCTCAGCTCGGTTTCCAAGTCCACTGTGATGCCAGTGATGTGGGATTGGGTGCCATTCTCACACAAGAAATTGACGATGAGGAGCGTCCTGTGGCGTTTGCATCCCGAGCTCTTCAGGGCGCCGAGGTCCGATATTCCACCGCTGAGAAAGAATGCTTGGCAGTCGTGTGGGCAATAGAAAAGTGGAAGCACTTCCTTGAGGGCACCACATTTGACGTGTACACTGACCACAGTGCCCTGGCCTGGGCGTTCAACTGCCCCAAGACATCCTCACGCCTCACCCGCTGGACATTACGTCTTCAAGCGTTTACCTTCAGAGTCCACTACAAAAAAGGATGCTGCAACGTGGTCCCTGATGCCCTCTCACGTGCCCCCATTCCCCAAGCTGGACAGGTTTGCCTGACTGTGCCAAAAACATATTGGTCAGACATCCCTTGTTCCCTGCAGGAGATTGCTAAGGCCCAAGAGGCGGACCCTTCCTGTCAAGAGCTCGGGCCGTCTGACCGCCAAGCAAGCCCGGGTCGCATCCATTACCAACTCCAACAGGACGTGTGGTACAGAGGCGTACCTTCCAAGTACGGAGGTTTTAATTACCAAGTGGTGGTTCCGGCCGCGTTGGTGCCCCAGTTCCTGTTGTACTATCACCACAGTCCATTTGGTGGACATCTGGGCAGGATGAAAACCCTTTTGAAGATCCTCCAGGTGGCCTGGTGGCCATCTGTCCGCAACGATGTCTGGCAACACGTCCGTACGTGCACTATCTGCCAGCAGTACAAATGTTCCTTTGGAAAGCCGGCCGGGCTCCTGCAGTCTACTGAGGTCAAGGTTCCGGGGGAAATGATCGGTGTGGACTTCATGGGACCATTCCCACTCAGCAAAGACCGCAACTCTGTGCTAATGGTAGTTGTGGATTACTACAGCAGATGGGTCGAGGTGTTTGCTTTGAAGGATGCCAAAACCCCCAAAGTTTGCAAGGTCCTGAAAAATGAGATTTTTACCCGCTGGGGAGTTCCGAAGTTCATGGTGTCTGACAGAGGCCCTCAGTTCACAAGCCATCTGTTGGCCCAACTGTGTGAAACCTGGGGCGTCACCCAAAAACTCACCACAGCCTATCACCCCCAAACCAACATGACAGAGAGAGTTAATCGCACCCTCAAGACCATGATTGCCTCTTATGTTGGGAACCAGCACCAAGACTGGGACAGGTGGCTGCCTGAGTTTCGGTTGGCTCTTAACACTGCGGTACATGAGACCACAGGCGTGACACCTGCCATGCTGACTCTGGGTCGAGAGCTTCTGGGGCCACTTGAGAGACTTGTTCACAGAGCTCCTGCTCCACATACACCCGCATACCAGACTCTTCAGACACACACTCAGTTAAGGGAGGAGGTTGCGAGACACGTTGGCGCGTCCAAAGCCAGACAAGCCAGATACTATAATGCACGACGCAGGGATGTACACTTTGCTGTCGGTAGTCTGGTCTGGGTTAGGTCGCATCCGTTGTCCAAAGCGTCTGCAAGATTCTCTGCCAAACTTGCACCCAAATGGTTAGGGCCGGCTAGGGTAGAGAAAAGCTTGGGACCTGTAAATTACCAAATTTGTTGGTTGTCCGATAAGAAGAAGGTGGATACTATAAATGTGGTAGACATGAAGCCCTATTTTGGGCCCGTCAAGCCGCTGGCTGGGGGGGGGGGAATGTAACGCCCGCGTAGGTCCTTACCTTAGTGTCACTCAGGAGGGGTGACATTCTGTATTTTTCAACCAATTTTGTGTACCAGGTCTGTGTTGTGTTTTGTTTCATAAGTCTCCAGGTACTGGAGCTATTATTGTTTTGCCATTGGTGGCGCGCTTGGGGACTCTATTTAGGAGTGACGGGCACGAGCGCGGGGGGGGCGCGTGTTCTGACGTCAGACGCCGACTTGGAGTCAGGCCAGCACCTCTACCTGGAGTTTTTGTGGATTATAATCTCTGTTGGAGTATCGTTCTGTTGGATTACCGTGACGTTTTGGAATACCTTGTGCAGAGCGATCAAACGAGACTGTGGATTATCTCTCCATGGTTGCTGGTGGGCTCCAGGACCCGGTTTTGTGAACCTTGGTGCATGCGCGGGGCCGTGAGTACACCGTGGCTTCACCACTGACACTGACTCTTTCTTTTTGTTTCCACATATTGAGTTCTTAGTGGCTGTTTGTGATCGTATTATGTTTTGTTGTGTGGGGTCGCGCTCGAGCGTGGGGGTGTGTTGGCGCAGTGTGATAGACTGGGATCAGTAATAAATAGCCAGTCTTGTGCCAAATGCATGTTCGGTATCTGTGCTTATTTCACCCCTGCTGATGTGACACCTCCTCTCGCGACCCTTTTAAAGCGTTGTAGCTCTGGTGTCTTGAAAAGTTAGGCAAATTGTTACAAAACCACTACTGTATGTACTTTCTGAACATGTTTTTACCTTAGCTTATCATTAGCTAGCTCCGCGTACAGTAGGTGGCTTCTACGTTTTGGCGATTCCCCAAAGCTGATCTTCGCTAATGCTAAGCTAAAATGAACCGCAGGAAAGCCAAGTACACGGGGGTCTGCGGTTCTTGTGTGACATACTGTATGTACTACGTTCCCAATTTCAATGTGTATATTATTCTAGCAGTGCAGCAAGGACGAAACCTGCTGTTTTAGAGACAGAGCAGACGATAATTATTCTATCTTTACTCTTACATTTTGACATCTTAGTGAAACCAAGACGGAATGAAGGTTCGGTTCTTTAGGGAGAAAACAAACCCATGGATTCAATATTAATGCTACAGAGAGGACTCAGACTGATAGATATGGTTTTAATAGAGTATATTTGTAAATCCCACTCTACCAGCCTCCTGTTAAAGACTGGCAATGTATTTACATTTACTGTTGATATGTTAAGTTCATGTGTGTGTTTGTAAAGGCATCGTACTTCTGCTCCTCCTCAGAGCGTCCGTTTCTACTCTACTACTGTGTATTTGTTTTAATTAATTTGACTGGGACAGTACATGTATATGAACATATATGTCGACATGTCTGATTGTAACAAAAGGCTCATTTTAATCCCAGAAGAACCGATTAATTAATGATTTTTTGTGTGAATTTCTTTTCCAGAGGCAGCTGTCTTTCAGAGGCATCGATTCTTCATCCATTTCCATCACCTCCAGCTCCTGTGGATTACGATATAAACTACAACCACCAATATGTTCATTTGTTTTATTAATTACAAGTCATGGATAGTTAGAACACATCTCTCATTTTCTGAAGACATGCAGCAGTAACAGCAGCAGCAGTAACAGCAGCAACAGTAACAACAGCAGCAGCAACAGCAGCAACAGCAGCAGTAACAACAGCAGTAACAGCAGCAGTAACAACAGCAGCAGTAACAGCAGCAGTAACAACAGCAGTAACAACAACAACAGCAGTAACAACAGCAGTAACAACAGCAGTAATAACAGCAGCAGCAGCAGTAACAGCAGGAACAACAGCAGTAACAGCAGTAACAACAGCAGTAACAGCAGTAGCAGCAGCAGGAACAACAGCAGTAACATCAGTAACAGCAGCAGTAACAGCTGTAATAACAGCAGTAACAACAGCAGTAACAGCAGCAGCAGGAACAACAACAGCAGTAACAGTAACAACAGCAGCAGCAGCAGGAACAACAGCAGTAACAACAGTAACAACAGCAGTAATAACAGCAGTAGCAGCAGCAGTAACAGCAGGAACAACAGCAGTAACAACAGCAGAAACAGCAGTAACAGCAGTAACAACAGCAGAAACAGCAGTAACAACAGTAACAACAGCAGTAATAACAGCAGTAATAACAGCAGTAGCAGCAGCAGTAACAGCAGGAACAACAGCAGTAACAACAGCAGAAACAGCAGTAACAGCAGTAATAACAGCAGTAGCAGCAGCAACAGCAGCAGGAACAACAGCAGGAACAACAGCAGTAACAACAGCAGTGCCTCTGACACAGTCTTTTCTACGGTGGACTCATCACAACCTGGAATAAAATAAAATAATTATGATTTAGTTCTTTGTGTGCAATGAAAAGTTATGTGTTTGTTTTATCCAACCACACAATCCGTGAGAAACATGTTTCAGCTTTTATTTAAGTACTTCTAATCTTAAGTACATTTAAGCCATTAACTCTGACATGATCAGGTCTGTTGGATTTCAAGAGGAGCTTGTGCTCAAAAAGTAAGTGCTCATGACCTTAAATCTGGTCTGTAAGTTCAAGTCCACGCGTCTTCTTTTTTTTTTAACTTAATACAAATTACTTTACAACTAAGTGATGCACAAACGAGGGCCATAGCAAATCCACACTCTAAGAAATGAAACATAGGGGTTGTCAAATGTAATTCATACTTTTCTTTTCAATGTAGTTACAATTGTTAATTTTGAGGCTGTAATTAATAACGTTTCATTGGATTTAATTAAGTTCAAACATTGTTATCGCTATGTGATCGAACTATTTTGAATGTCTTGAACATCTTTAATTAAATCCAAAGTGCCTTTTCCACACCCCTCTGAGCATGCGCAGAGGTTCAGCATGCGCTGTCTCCAGTGTCCAGCATCCACTGCCATCGAGTCCTTGCCATGTGCTATGAAGGTTATTTTGTGTTTTTATTATCACCACTTTTTTTTGCTTTTGAATTCTATAAACTGTAACAAAAAAGTATTCAGTGTGAATAAATTCAATGTTTTAAAATTCAGTGTCCAAAAATTCAATGTTTTAAAATTCAGTGTCGTAAATATTCAATGTTTTAAAATTCAGTGTCAAAATATTCAATGTTTTAAAATTCAGTGTCCAAAAATTCGTAGCATTTTTTTTCGCTGCTTGAAATGTCATGCTTTATTTCCGGGTAAATCAAGACAGAAGCAATCGATCAGCCAATCCTCCATAGATGTAGCCAGGGCCAGAACACGACTGATTTGTTCATCTGAACATGGCGTCCACAGCAAACCAGTAAGTGTGTTTTCTCATCATTAGTTGGTGTGTAACAAACCACTACTGTTTGTACTTTCTGAACATGTTTTTACCTTAGCTTAGCATTAGCTAGCTCCGCGTAGGTGGCTTATGACTATAGTTTAACTTTTTCACCCTCTAACAACGCTCACATCTACCGTTGTGTTTGGTCACTGATGTCAAGGTTTATGTTCGCAGAGATGTGAAAACACGTCAGACAGTTGTATTTGGAGATAATAATGGTTTACTTACCGCTGCGTCTTTGGCGTTTTTCCTCGTCTTCTTTCTTTCTTTGTCTTTTAAAAAATCCTGAAGGGTATGATCGCTTCATGATATTTTAAAATTTTAAATGCCCGTGTAGCGCTTGTGACGCTTTCGCTTCCAATGACAGCTAGTGGGGGACCTCATGGGGGGAGCGCGACGGTGGATGTCACTTCAACATTACAGTGATTAGAGCGCTCACAGTGTTGGTCGTTGCATAGGGGGAATCCCTCTAGTTTGGGGGGCCCCTCTCACGGAGCAGTACTGGAAAGTGATAGCGCTGTCTCATTGCGGTGGTTTATTTACGGTGGTTGATACTGTTTGACGAGCACAGATACA